AATCTCATCAAAATGTTTTATAGATGGCACTTACCACTGCTCGATTAGCTAAAATCTACCCAAACGCCCCCTCATTTTGTTGGAAGTGCAAAACCAAAAAAGGGACGTATTTTCATGCTTGGTGGAAATGCAAAAAGGCCCAACAATATTGGCAAGACATCAAAAAAATTATTGAGGAAATAACGAATCTACAAGTCGAAGATAGTCCAGATTTTTTTCTATTTGGCATGACAACAGCACAATTCTCCAAAGAGATGAAATACCTTATTATACATATCCTGACAACAGCATGACTACTATTTGCTCAAAATTGGAAATTAGACCAACTCCCAACCAAAGATAAAATTATCTCAAAGATAACAGAATGTGCCGAGATGGATAGACTGACGCTGGAACTCCAGGACAAGGAAGAAAGTGACTATTACCGTGTGTGGCATCAATGGTACCAATACTCTGGTTTCTCTTCAGATCATATAAATCTTTCGCCTTTTATTATTTTCTTATTATTATGCAAAGAAAAATATTATATATAATGTTGATGACAAAAAGTATATATGTAGAATGTTGTGTGGGTGCTGTGGGTGGTGGGAGTTTTGTTTGTTTTGTATTGTCTTTGTATTTTTGTTTACATTTTAACAATAAAAAAACATTAAAAAAAGTGGCAAAATGTAACTATTTTTCCTCTCTTATTGCGTCATCAGATAATCTCCCGGCTGCCCTGTTTAGGGTGACCCGCTCCCTCCTCCACCTGGGAGTGTGGGAAGACCCCTTGCAGGGCAGGGCTGAGGATTTTGTGCAATATCTGCATGACAAAATCGCTCATATTCAGGAGGGTCTGGACTCCGACGGGGTAGATCCGGATGGGATGATGGAGGTGGGTCTTGAGAATGTTAGCTGAGTTTGACCTTGTGACTCTCGAGGACGTGGACAGGGTTCTGGGTAGATTGTACGTGGCCACATGTTTATTGGACCCGTGCCCCTCCTGGTTGGTGCTGCCTTCCCGGGAGGTTACACGAGGCTGGCTCCAGGGGATTGTCAACGCTTCTCTGAGTGAGGGTTTCTTTCCCGTCGCCTTGAAAGAGGCAGTGGTGAGGCCCCTCCTCAAGAAGCCTTCTCTGGACCCGGCTCTTTTATCAAATTATCGTCCAGTCTCCAACCTTCGCTTCAGTGGCAAAGGTTGTGGAGAGTGTGGTGGCGCGACAGCTTCCCCAGTACCTGGATGAAGCGGACTATCTAGATCCATTCCAGTCGGGCTTCAGGCCTGAGTATAGCACGGAAACGGCATTGGCCGCATTGGTTGATGATCTCTGGAGGGCTTGGGACAGGGGTTGTTCCTCTGTCCTGGTCCTATTAGATCTCTCAGCGGCTTTTGACACCATCGACCATGGTATCATGCTGCGTCAGTTGGAGAGGTTAGGGGTGGGGGGCACCGTGTTATGGTGGTTCTCCTCCTTCCTTTCTGACCGTACGTAGTCTGTGTTGACAGGGGGGCAGAGGTCGACCCCGAGGCGCCTAGTTTGTGGGGTGCCGCTGGGGTCGCTCCTCTCACCTCTCCTGTTCAACATTTATGTGAAGCCGCTGGGTGAGATCATCCGTGGCTTCAGGGTGGATTTCCATCAGTACGCTGATGACACTCAGCTGTACATTTCCACCCCGGGCCATCCCAATGATGCCCTTGAAGTGATGACCCGGTGCCTGGAGGCCGGACGGATCTGGATGGGGAGAAACAAGCTCAGGCTCAACCCCTCCAAGACCGAGTGGCTGTGGTTTCCGGCGTCCTGTCATAGTCAGTTGGTTCCATCACTGACTATAGGGGGTGAGACCTTGGCCCCCTCAGAGAGGGTTCGCAACTTGGGTGTCCTCCTGGACTCTCAGCTGTCTTTAGAAGATCATCTGACGGCTGTGGCCAGGGGGACTTTTTATCAGGTTCGCCTGATCCACCAGTTGTGCCCCTTTCTGGACCGGTACGCCTTGCGCACGGTCACTCACGCCCTCCTCACTTCCCGTCTGGACTACTGTAACGCTGTCTACATGGGGATCCCCTTGAAGAGCACCCAGAGGCTCCAGCTGGTCCAGAATGCGGCCACGCGGGTGATTATGGGGGCGACTCGGTGCTCCATGTAACACCGTTCCTGCGCGAGCTGCACTGGCTCCCAGTGGTCTTCCGGGTGCGATTCAAGGTGTTGGTTGCCACCTTTAAACCGCTCCATGGCATAGGACCTGGATATTTACGAGACCGCCTTCTGCCTCTGATAGCCTCCCACCGACCAGTACGCTCTCACAGAGAGGGTCTCCTCAGGGTGCCGTCGGTTAGACAGTGTCGACTGGCGACCCCCAGGGGGAGAGCCTTCCCTGTGGGAGCACCTGCCCTCTGGAACGAGCTGCCCCTGGAGATTCGTCAGATTTCCGACCTCCGTACCTTCCGCCACGCCCTTAAAACGCTATTATTCCATCAAGCAGGACTGGCCTCAAATATTATTTTAATGGGTTATTGTGTTTTAGATGATTGGCCAAACTATTTAATAATTTTAAATTGTTTTTAACTTTTATATTGCGGGTTTTTATCTTGGCTGTACACCGCCTTTTGGGGGAAGGGTGGTATAAAAATTTGATAAATAAATAAATAAATATTTGGGTCGTGACAGACCTATTTTCAAAACAGGCACATTTTATACCCTGCCAAAAGATCCCAACTGCTAAAAATTTAGCCAAATTATTCCTAATACATATTTATCGACTTCATGGGGCTCTACAAAGGATCATCTCCGACAGATGGGCTCAATTCACCTCCAACTTTTGGAGGGCATTTTTGGGCTTACTTGGTACTGGCCAGGGGTTGAGCACATCCTTTCATCCTTGTACTAATGGTAATTCTGAAATTTTGAACTCGGTGTTAGAACATTATTTAAGATGTTTCATTAATTTTCAACAGGATAACTGGACTGAACTTTTGCCTTTTGCTGAAGTTGTATTTAATAATGCTGTACATTCAAGCACTGGTTTTACCCCTTTTAAAGTAGCAACAGGCCAGGATTTCAGCCCCATGCCTGAACTACCCACAGAAGAACCCACCATCCCCTCACTTAAGGAGTGGATGGATAATTTGCAAAACATGTGGCCAGTGGTTAGACTAGCTTTAAAGGAAGCTAGAGAAGCTTTTAAAATTCAAGCTGACAAGAAAAGGATGGAACCCAAACCTTTTCATGTTGGAGACAGAGTATACTTAACTATAAAATTCCTGAAATCATTACAACCATCGAAAAAACTAGGGCCAAAGTTCATTGGACCTTTCCCCATCACTAGAATCATCAATCCAGTAGCAGTTGAACTACTCCTTTCAAAGACGCTCAGGCAAGTCCACCCAGTATTCCATATTAGTTTACTCAAGCGAGAAGTAATCTCATCCCTCAGACCACCTGCATCTACACCACCCGTTCCCATCATGATTGAAGGTGAACAACACTTTGAAATCAAGGAAATCCTTGATTCTAGGATCCACAGAGGGAAAATCCAATACTTAGTTGCTTGGAAACATTTACCATCAGCACACAATGAATGGGTCTCTAAACACCATGTTAGGGCTCCAATCTTACTGAGAAAATTTCACTCCCAATATCCTAACAAACTTTGTTAATATACTATCATGAAATCTTGTGTGTGTATATATATATATATATATGTATATATATATATGTGTGTGTATATATATATATATATATATATATATATATATATATATATATATATTATATATTTTCAGGTGGACCCTTTCGCTTTCTAAGGAGGGTAGCATGTCAGATCCCTAAAAGTGATACTGCCATTCAGTTGGAGGAGGGGGGACACTTGAATTCGATTCCCTAGCATCGCCTGTGTCAACATATACCTTACAACCTATATCCTGGCACCAAAGAACCCTGAGATCTCCTTTACCTGCAGGAATTTTTATGATAGCCATGGGGTTGTCTCACTTTAAAGTAAATGGTGAGAATGCATGTTTGTTTGGGTTCTCATAGGAAATAGTAAAGAAAACATCTTCACACTTGTGTATTGGCTAAAATCTGCATTCTGACTTAAAGGGAGGGGTCTCTACCACTTTAATCCTACTGCTTTGCCTAAGGGTATTCAGATCTTGCTTTAGCTGGATGGCTGTCACTTCTGCTTAATAAAAGAATCCTTTTGAACAACCACGTTTCAAGAGTTCGTACTTTCTTAAGTTGGAAGGAGAGGCGATCCTTACATTCATAGAGTAAAACCAGATAATCTTTTGCATTTCATACTTGCTTAAATGATAATTTCTTTCCCCTGTGCCTAAATCTATAATAGAAAATGATACACTTGATAGGATAGGATACAAAATGTTCCATAATGTTCCATTCCACATTCCATAATGTTCCATTACAGTATAGTTACGTTTCTAGATAGAATTAAATCCTCACATCCCCTCTAGTACAGTAGAGAACACAATTCTCCCTTACATCTATTTAGGCCTATGCCTTTAGCAAAAACAAACCAAACGTATTCAACACATGAAAAGATGAAAGACAAAGCCTCACTCATGTTAATAGGTCAAACCTATTTAAAATATGTCTTTTACAAACAAGAGCCAAAGGTAAGGATTGCTAAATTTGCCGTGCTTTGTCCATGCAACTACTGTTTTTAATCAACAAAGACTGCCGCAACTTTTCTTTCTAGCCTTATATTCACGTGATGGGCTGCGATCCAATTCAAGGCATGTTTCTCTACCTACAACAGCCATTTAAGGGATTGACATACATACAACCATTGGACCATACAACTGTTGGACCAAACGGGATGGGGAAAATATTCCAACCCTCTTTCTAAGCCTGTCTAATGCCTTGGGGAACCTCTTCACACAATCCTTCCTTCAAAGTTGCACGCGTCTCTTTTGCGGCTTCCTCCTCGAGTTGCCAGGCAACTGGAAACACGACCGACCGCTTCCTCTCCTCCCCCTCTTTCCCGCCTCTTTCGCTTCGCCTGACCTCCCTGATCACGTCGTGCAGGTAGCGGAAAGGCGGCTTGCTGAGAAGGCGCTCTGTAAGAGGTGGTTTTCGAATCACGCGCCCCAGCAACTCTTGTGTACGCCGGATCACGGAGCCCTGCATCTCAGCCTTCGGTAAGATTCGTCTCTACCCAGGCCCAGACAAACTCCCGGTAGTGCGCAGACCACACATGCGCACTCCGCCTCCACCGTCGTTGCTACCCAACTTTGTGACCATGGTAACGCGCATGTAGTCTCAGCCGCCTCCTTCCTTTCCTCCTATTGGGCCGAACGAGCGGAGACGATGACGTAAGCCACCGAATAGTCGAACATCAAGGAGCGAAATTAAAATATGACCTAACTGTTGGAAGGTATGGCTACAGAGGCGTGCCCCTCATCTTATTATGAATTTGTCAAACAGACCGCTGATGCTTGTAACTTTTCTCCTTTTTTGTTTCCGATCTGGAACATAGTTTCAGTTGTGAGAAAATATATCTTTAGATATTAAGTAGTGTTGGAAGAAATATCCATCTGGTTCAGTTCCAAGCCGGGAGCAAGGCACTGGAGACAAAATGGAGGCTGATTGGAAAGAGGGTCCATTTATTGATGAAGCAGAACCACCAAGCAGGTGATTCTGGACCACACGGAGTTGAGAGTGAGGGGTTTTTATACCTTTTCTTGGGCTTTTCACTTGAGCTTCATGTACAAGAACATGTATTTTATTGGCTGTTGTCAGACTCCCATTGAGCAATGTAGGGGTCATGTAGGGGTCATAGCTGGCTCTGTAGGTTGCCTGAGAAGTTTGGTTGAAGTTTCTGAGGGTGATGCAATGTCCTTAGGAGATTGTGCAATGTGTCTTAGTGGGTTAATCCTATTATGTCTACAAGGATAATGTCTTAATTCCTTCACCCTGGAGCTGAAGGTCTTCTGTTTTGTACATAGGCTGGCTTAGTCTTTCTTAATGGGCACAAAATATCTGCTGGGGGCAGGGAGCTGGGGCTCTTAATTTCTTTCTCCCTTAAGATTTTTTAAAATTTCTCTTTTAGGGGAAATATTTTATCCTGCCTTTTTAAATATTCCTCAAAATATTTCATTCTTCTAGGAAGGGGGTGGTGGCTTCCCATAGTAGATATTAAGAAACAGGCTGTCAATTGAGTTTGTGTCACTAAGTTATATCAGATAAAATAATTATCTTTGCACAGGTTTACAGTTTAGAAAATGATATGATCCAAATTTAGAAGAGGTATTTTCTATGTACTTGTTCCAAATGCTGCTTTTATAATTATTTGAATTAAAATTACTTTTTCTAATAGTTAAAAAAAATCCTAACATTTATTGTGGCATTTTTGCTCATCAATCAAATATGTTCAATTAATTATTTAAAATGATGAGATGTTGCAGCATTTAATGTTAACTTTACAGGTCACAATACCCGTAAAATCTGTTTAATCTAGTGGTTAAAGTACTGTACTGATCTAGAATCAACAGACTTGAGTTCTAGTCCTGCCTTTGGCATGAAAGCTGGCTGGGTGACTTTGGGTCAATCACTCTGGCCAATCCAACTTGCAGAGTTGTTCTGGGGAAAATAGGAGGAAGAAGGAATATTAGGTTTGTTTGCTTGAGTTATATAATTAATAAAGGTAGGTTAAAAATCTAATAATAAATTAAAAAATATCTATATGTTCTATTTTTATTTCCTCCCTTTTGTTATGTCTTGTTTTTAATTTATAAGATTGGGAACAGCAGCTGTCAGCTTTGGAAGCCATATTAGGCCGGAAGCTTCCATGCTGCCACCTTCTCCTGTGTGGGAAAGTAGGAGGGGGGATTTAGTAGAGAGGTTGTCTGTAGACATAATAGCATTCTTCCTGTCAGTCAAGGTCAGGGCGATCCTGCATCTGGAGAAGGAGTGGTCGGAGTGATGTCTCAAGATGGGACGGCGGTTGATTGGAGCATGTGATGGACTGAGGAGTGAGGGGATGGTTTGGGGGGTTTTGATTTACTGAATGAAAACCCAGACCTCTCAAAATGGCTTTCCTAATCAAAATGATACATTCTGATCAGATTACCTGACATCAATACCTGGGAAGATCCTGGGGGAAAAAATCAAAAAAGAGATCTTCAAACACCTGGAAACAAACAATGTTATAATCAGAAGCCAACACAGGCTTGTCAAAAACAGATCATGCCATATAAATCTTATTTTATTCTTTGACAAAGTGACTAAGTGACTTCTTTATTCAAAAGAAGGACTAGGGCAGTGATGGCTAAACTTTTTGCCATTGCGTGCCAGGAGGGGGGGCAGGGGAGGTTCGCACGCACACATGCCCATGCCCATAATTCTATGCGCCCCGCGCGTGGGTGACTCCCCCTCTCCCCCCCACTCCTGGCACACGATGGCCCAGTAGGCCCATTTTTCTCTCTCACCTGGCTCCAGATCCTCTCTATGTGTCTGGGGAAGGCGAAACAGCCTTCCCCACTCCCTCGGAGGCCCTCCGGAGGCCCCAAAAGGCCTGTTTCCCAACTTCCAGTTGGACAGGAAGTGACATTTTTTGCTGTCCCCAGCCTCCAGAGCCTCTCTAGGAGACTCCTAGTTAGTTGCCTTCAGAAGTGGTGGGTGCTCCATCTTTGGAGGAGTTGTCAACCTTTGTCTGAAATGGTATAGAGTCTCCTGCTTGTGCAGGATGTTGGACTAGAAGATCTCCTAGCTCCCTTCAATTCTGTTATTCTATTGTTTTATACAAGCTGTAGCTTCCAGATTTTCTTCAAAGGTAACTCCATGTAAAGATGGAGAGCCTCCTGATTGATGTGAAAGCTGCGCACAATAAACCTGGTACATATGATTAACCTATGAATTCTTAAAGAAATGATGGTTTGATATAATGAAGGATTTTGACAAATAAGTAGTCCCTGTTATTCATCAAACCTCTCTGGACAAATTATAACCTCATAGTTAATCATTTTATCTCATGATTGCAAAAAATTATGTAAATAAATGTTGGAAGGTTATTTTTTTCCCTTGGCATCATAAAAGATTGATTCTGTCTTTTTTTTTTCAATCAATCAAACAGAATAGAGTTGGAAGGTACTTTTGAGGTCTTCTAATCCAACCCCCTGTTTAAGAAATTATAACCTCATAGTTAATCATTTGGACAAATTATAACCTCATAGTTAATCATTTTATCTCATGATTGCAAAAATTATTAAATAAATGTTGGAAGGTTATTTTTTTCCCTTGGCATCATAAAAGACTGATTCTGTCTTTTTTTCAATCAATCAAACAGAATGGTCGTTGCTTACCTGAACGACCCTTTTATCCTCGCTGTGAAGACACTCCTCATTCTGGGTAATCATCACTCCTATTTGCATGGCTGAGTGTCAATCAAATCCCTCTGGAGCTGGAACCTCCTCACTTCCTGCTCCTTCCTCAGACTTTTCACGAAGACAACTTGGTCCAAGAGCATTAGGACTGACATGCAGAAACACCACCAGATTGCCACACAGGAAGCAGACAGCTACAGAGGGAAAGAAAGCAGACCCCCACCAAGGCCAGACCTGGCGAAGATCAGGGAGGGACGGAATGTCTTCACAGCGAGGATAAAAGGGTCGTTCAGGTAAGCAACGACCATTTTCCTCCTCGCTGTTCAGACACTCCTCATTCTGGGACATACCCAAGTTGGAGGAGAAAGGGCGGGAACTAAGCCGAAGACTGGCCTTGAGGGGAGATTACAGACTGTAACACTCGTCTGCCAAAGGCAGCATCTGCAGAGGCAAACTTATCTAGCCTATAGTGACTTACAAAGGAAGAAAGGGAAGACCAGGTGGCCGCCCGGCAAATATCATCTACCGATGCCTGGGTAGCCCAAGCCGCTGATGTTGCAGCACTACGGGTAGAATGGGGCAGTATACCGCCCGGGACAGGAGCCTCCCGCAATTCATATGCCTTAGAGATACAGGCCTTAAGCCACCTGCCGACTGTTGCTGAGGATACCTTCTGACCCAAGAAAGAGGGGAGGAAAGACACCAACAGCGCCTCAGTCTTGCGGAATGAGGCCGTCCTCTTAAGATATCGTCTTAATGCCCTTCGCACATCCAAGGTATGCCAGCGCCTCTCATCAGGATGACGAGGGTTCGGACAGAAATTAGGCAATACGAGTTCTTGGGCCCGATGAAATCGAGTGTTTACTTTGGGGACAAAGGCTGGGTCTAAGCGTAAAACCACCCGGTCAGGATAGAAGACGCAGAGGTCACTCCTCATGGACAAAGCTGCAATTTCGGATACTCTGCGAGCCGAAGTAATTGCCAACAAAAAAGCCATCTTGAAGGACAAGTAGCGGAGTCTGGACGAAGCAATAGGTTCAAACGGAGGAACCGTCAAAGCCTGCAACACTAAGGTAAGGTCCCAAGTGGGGTAGCGGTGAATTGGTGGCGGCTGCAAGTTGGAGACCCCTTGGAGAAAGGAACGAATCCTGGGATCCTGGGACAAAGGAAGTCGAGCATCCCCTGACAAGACAGTGGCCAGAGCAGCCACCTGCCGGCGTAGGGTCGCAGGAGCCAATCCTTTTGAGAACCCCGCATGCAGGAATCGTAGAATGTCCAGAACAGCCGCAGACGTGGGGTCAACATGGTGATCTCCATACCATCTCGTGAAGGCGGTCCATGAGGCGTCATAAATACGAATGGTCGATGGTCTTCGAGCTGCTTGAATAATGGAGATGACGTCCTCAGACAAATTGTCCTTGAAGAGCTTTATGCACTCAAATGCCACACGGCTAATCGAAGCCATTCTGGTTCCGGATGACGGACGGCCCCTTGAGTCAACACAACCTTGTCGGGTGGAAGCCTCCACGGTGGTTCGACAGATAGGTTCTTGAGGTCGGCGAACCACTCCCGACGAGGCCAATACGGCGCTACCAGCAGAAGGTTTGCCCGCTCCTGAATAACCTTCCGAATGACTTTGGAGATGACAGGAAGGGGGGGAAAAGGCGTAAAGAAGCCCCCAGGGCCACTGACTCCGAAGAGCGTCCAGACCCTCCACTGCTGGAGACGGGTAGCAGGAAAAAAACCTCGGCAACTGGGTGTTCTGAGCCGTCGCAAACAGGTCCACTAGGGGCAGACCGAACCTCCTGGATAGGTCCTGGAACAGGCCAGGGTCCAACCTCCACTCGGCATGATCTATCTGGTCTCTGCTGAGCCAATCTGCTTCTCGATTTAGA